GCCTTCCTCTTCTTCGGCAACAGTTTAAAGTAAAACAAGCGTCACAATCGATATAATCAAGAGTAGCAAATCCAAAACTTTAATCACAATAACTCCCATTGCACTGACATTTTCCTAATCGCGCGATCCTGATTAGTACCAACACCCCAATCACAACCGCCGCTGACACTACAATTCATTCATCCCAAACTAGACGTTTTGAAGCACGATGCGGTAATTGACAGTTATGACAGATGGCGAACATGATGCCGAACTTTAACAGAAAGAGACATTACCGAGCTGTGTTGACCACCTGCATGACACATCGCATACCTGACGTGATGGATTGGGAGGAAACGAGAGCCGGTAAAAGAGGCGAAACTTTGTTTTTTTTTTTTCCTTTTTTTATAATTCTTTTCTGAACGAAGATATGCGAACTATTTTTGTTCTATCGGCCACAGTAATTGTGGAATGTGGGAAGTATAGCTTTTTTTTAGGTTTGGTTTGGAACACTTCGCGAGGAATTCCGAATATGTACAATTTAAGTGCAATGTCACTACTATCTTCCTACATATCTATTCTTTCTCTCTTTCCCTCCTTCCCTCCCTCCCTGCGTCCATCATTCTCTACATTCAAAGTCATGATCCTATATCAATTTCATAATGAGAGTTAATGAGAGAGAGAGAGAGAGAGAGAGAGAGAGAGAGAGAGAGAGAGAGAGAGAGAGAGAGAGAGAGAGAGAGAGAGAGAGAGAGAGAGAGAGAGAGAGGGGGGGGGGAGGAGGGAGAGATGGAGGAGGGGAGGCAGGGAGAGATGGGAGGGAGGGAGGGAGGGAGGGAGGGAGAGATGGAGGGAGGGGAGGGGGGAGGGAGAGATGGAGGAGGGAGGGAGGGAGGAGGGAGGAGGGAGGGAGGGAGGGAGGGAGAGAGGGAGGAGGAGGAGGGAGGGAGGGAGGGAAGGAGGGAAGAGATGGGGGAGGGAGGGAGGGAAGGGAGGGGGAGAGGGGGAGAGGGGGAGGAGGAGAGGAGAGAGGAGAGAGAGAGAAGAGAGAGAGAGAGAGAGAGAGAGAGAGAGAGAGAGAAGAGAGAGAGAGAAGAGAGAGAGAGAGAGAGAGAGAGAGAGAGAGAGAGAGAGAGAGAGTGTGAGAGAGAGAGAGAGAGAGAGAGAGAGAGAGAGAGAGAGAGAGAGAGAGAGAGAGAGGAGAGAGAGGAGAGAAGAGAGAGAGAGAGAGGAAGGATATGTATGTATGTATTTATGTATGTATGTATGTTTATGTAATGTATGTATGTTAGTATTGTTATGTATGTAGTTGTGTTATAATAAGTAAATAAATATATATATATATAACATATATATATATGTAATATATATATATATTATATATATATATATATAATATATACACACACACCACACACACAAAACACACACACACCCACACCACACACACACACACACACACACATATTATATATATATATATATATATATATATATATTTATAACACAATATATCACACACACACACACAGCACACACACACACACACACAACACAACACATATATATATATAATATATATATATATATATATAATATATATATTATTATATGTATATATGTATATGTATATGTATATGTTATATGGTTAATGTATATGTATATGTATAGTATTGTATATGTATATGTATATGGTATAGTATATGTATATGTATATGTATGTATGTTATATGTATATATGATATATATATATATATGATATTATATATATATAATTATATATAATATGTGTGTGTGATGTGTGATGTGTGTGTGTGTGTGTGTGGTGTGTGTGTGTGTGCTGATGTTGTGTGTGTGTTGTGTGTGTGTGTGTGTGTGTGTGTGTATGTGTGTGTGTGTGTGTGTGTGTGTGTGTGTGTGTGTGTGTGTGTGTGGGGTGTGGTGGTGTGTATGGTGTTGTGTGGTGTGGTGTGTGGTGGTGTGTATATGTATATATGTATATGTATATATGTATATGTAATATGTATATTATATGTATATGTATTTGTTATGTGTATAGTATATATATATTATATTATATAATATATATATATATATTTATTATTATATATTATATGCATAATATATATATGAATATATATGTGTTTAGATATATATTATACATATATATATATATAATATAATATATATATATATATATATATATATATATATAATTTATTATATAATATCACGACACACACACACACACACCATATATATAATATAATATATCACACACATCAGTTGTGTGCTGTCGGATGTGAATGACGTCAGGTAACAGTGTCGATTTGTGTAATACTGGTGGGGCATGCGGTAGTGTGCTGAGTAGTGTAGTGTGAAGGTGATGTGTGATGAGCGGTAGTGTGATATGTGTGTAGTAGTCGTTGAATGATTGTGTCGGTCGTGACATGTGCGTCGATGCTTGCGGAGAGCTGGTCTAGGTGTGGTGTGCTTTGTGGTAGTATAGTGATCCGATGGTGAGGGGGAGTGCGTGGTGTTGTGTAGTGATGTGGTGTGACGTGCAGGATAGTCAGACTAGGCGGCTGGGGTGGATGGTTGTTGTGTGAATGTAGATTACACGTGATTTGTGCGTAGTGCGAACGTCACTTGGATAGATGAGTCGTTGTTCGGATTTGGTGGTAGGTTGTGATGGTGTTAGTTGTTCACACGGAGGGGGGCATTTGTTGTGGACATACGCAGGCTCAATGTGCTGGTTAGCGCTTTTTAGGCACATGGACGGCTGATGAGCGAAGCGGCCAATGATTATGGCAATAAGAATTGGATGTATTATTTAGGGGATACTTATAGGTGCGAAGGTCAGGAGGGAAAGGGTAGTGAAGTATAGGGAGGAGGTGTGGAGGAGTGAGTGAAGGATAAGGATGGTTAGCAGGGTGGTGATGAGCCGGAAGAGACGATAAGCCAGTAATCATAGTGCGCCGTTCTTAGAGGTTCTTAATCAGGAAAACTGAGAGGCGACGAGGCCTCTATTATTACCGCGACTGTTGAGCGCATATGAACTATTGCACTTATTACAGATTCTGTACATGCTATACGGTACATAGACGGAGATGGCAACTATAAGCGAGGTGGGTACCGCAGCGGCATCGATTACCGATGTTACTTACAGAATAATGGTTGTTTTGGCGGCGTTCTTGCGGGGAGGTGTCGCTCTAGAGCTTGAGGCCATCTGGTTTTGCCGTGGAGGGATCATGCGCCCAAGTGAAGCTAAACCGAGGCAGCTCTCGTTCTTTACGAATGGGACTGCGGTTGAGCAGGATATATGAAGAGATCTCAACAATGTAGAGTGAATACGCTTCCACACAGAGACCAAAGACGTTCTTGCGGAATCGTGGAGCAGCCGGTTTCATGCGAGGCAGGGGGGGGGTCGACCGCTGACCAGAAGTGGGGGGCCTAGCTGTACTCGCACAAGCACTATAGGAATAACGTCTAGTGCGGGCCGATGTCGCGGGCACCGGTCGGGCACGTCTTGCGCGTGGATGAGCTATAAGCGTACCTGAAGCGAATCAGGAGGTCAATCTGTACGGGATACTATGCTCAGGAGTTAGTTTGGCTAAGGCAAGAGGGAGAGTAAAGGACGGTTTACGGTCGACCGGGAGAAAAAGTATGTAGCATCACGCCGCGTGCTGAAAGGATCTGCCTTGTATCGCGTCCACAGCAAATCCCTCCCTCAAAACACAGCCACTCTTCAAAAGGAATCCCTAAGCGTAAACAACAACAAATGGCAGAAACACTTTATCGATCACACCTCGAAACACAAATCCGAGACCGCAAACGAACACGCTTTTCTCCTACTGCCAACGGCGCCAAAAACCTCGACCTCGAAGGACACGCTACGTAACTAAATCCTTTGCGAAGAGCACCTTCCGACGGCGAGGGCGAACTAGCAAGAACAGCGGCGTGACGTCAGGGGGGGAAGGGGGAGAGAGAAGTGGGGAGATTCCAACGCCGCCCACGAAGGGAGCTCGAGACGTGAACTGCCCCCCCCCCTCTTATCCTCCCCACCTCCCCTTCCCTTCGCTCGCCACCCCCCCCCCACTCCACCCTCACTTTGTTTATGTTTATTCTGTGTCGTGTTCTTACTGTGCAAGGAACTGGATTTACTAAAACAACGTGAGCTTAGCATTAGTGCCTTCTAATAAGCTGTTTAATCCTGTTACTTTTCTTTCGGCTCCTAATGGTATAATTATGATCTGCGATGCGTCTTGTAAGAAACCGCTTCGCATTTTGTGCTCTCTGAGGAATTTATGTCGCGTAACTTAACTTTTACGACAAATCAAGTACATTTAAAACCTTTCAAATCCTACTTACTGCTTTCGCTCATATTTTTTGACAGTCAGTCTCATACCAACACCAATCTAAGCGCGTCCACAGATGATCTTGTCTCATTATTCTCATCTTACACATTTCCAAAACAAACAGGGAACTTCAAAGCACGATTCATCTAACCAGAGTGTTTTAGACACTCCGGAGCTCCGACTTTTGATCGAAAACACTTCTTCCTTTCGTTGATAATAAAAATAATCTACAAGTGATTTAAAGTAATCAATTAGGACTAAGCACCAAGTGGATGTGTACTTGAACAAAAGTGTTCTCAGATGCGTGGCGTCGCGGACGGATATGAAGAATTGGCGAATTTAATTAATAAAACTTCACTATCTATCTTTATTTTTCTCCCATCTGAAATTACAGTGGATACGTACAATAAAACCACTTCCGTAAATATAAAAACGGTTCTCGACGACCCGAAGGTTACGAAACGCCGTGTCTAACGGTCTCCAAAACGACAGCCTCCCTTCTTTCATGCTCTTCAAGACAACGAATCTTTAAAGACAAGGTGGAAGTGGATGAATCCCCAGGTGGATGAGGGGGGGGGGTGCGGCACCCTTGCGGGGAGTCGGGCAGGCGGCGGGGAGGGCGAGGCGGCAGCGTCACGGCGCTTCCCGGGTCAGTTGTTGTTTGGGCGTCGTGTCGAGCGGAGGTGCAGCGGCGCTTCGCTCTCTCTTCGTCACTGGGCATTTCACTCGCGCTCTCCACGGAAATTGTTCGCTTCGGAGGCTCTCTGTTGTCTTTGCAATACATACCAGTACGGATTACCTTCGCCCTATGGTATGGATGTGGAAAATATCAAGTGATAACGAGTGAGGATTAATCTACTTCGGATATCTCCTTGCAATATATCCGCCCCGCAACACAGGAATCGGGAATTACCTTCGCAGGAAAGCTTTTCGGAACCACCGCGTGACACACAAGTTTCAAAGCTCCGGATCTAGACAGGAGCCACGATGGGAATGAATAAAGCAGTTGGCTTCCTCTTCAGGTACGTAACAGTGACGGAGGCGCCCCGCCCTGCCGTGCGTGCTCTTGGTAACAAGTGTGCTCTTCCAGACGTCGTCCTCGGCGGCTCGGCACTAAGTACTTCCCAAAATGGAAAATGGGAAATAATCAATGACTTTTCTTACTAATAAAAGAATAAAAAATAAATCCTTGACTCACGCAGAAATCCCCGAGCCAGAACCTTTCATTCCGACAACAAGAAGGGATTAGGGGCGAGTGTGACTCGGCGTGAAAACACTCCAGGAAGAATGGGAGAAAGAACAGGGATCTTAAGACCAGAGATAATTGGGTATGGGGGTGATTATGAATGGTCCGAGAATCGCTTTCGTCACGGGTTGTAGAAACGTGTTGTGGTAGCGGGAGGACCAGTAACCCTAACTCATTGTTCCACCAAAGACACCCCCTCTCTACCATTCACTCCTGCCACTTACAGCTTCACCACACCCAGGATTACACCCATGAAACCTACACTTGTTTTGGCTCTTCAAGTCGCCGCTGTCACCACACACCTTTGCGTCAACCAGCATTCTCCTACGTTAACGCCGACGCAACCATACAATTCCATGCAGCACCATAACATCAATAACTTGCCACCATATCACAGCAATAGTTACGTGATCACTGAATGTTCAGTCGTCGAACCATCAATTAACATACAGCGTATCAGTCTATTTAAATCTCACGTATAATACATTCAACACAATCATAATTAGTGACAAGATTTAATTTCCAATACGGATGTGAGTGTGTGTTGTGTGGTGGTGTGTGTGTGTGTGTGTGTGTGTGTGTGTGTGTGTGTGTGTGTGTGTGTGTGTGTGTGTGTGTGTGTGTGTGTGTGGTGTGTGTGTGTGTGTGTGTGTGTGTGTGTTTGTGTGTGTGATATATATATATATATATATATATATATATATATATATATATATATATATATTATATAATATCTGTGGTGTGTGTGTGTGTGTGTGTGTGTGTGTGTGTGTGTGTGTGTGTGTGTGTGTGTGTTGTGTGTGTGTGTGTGTGTGTGTGTGTGTGTGTGTGTGTGTGTGTGTGTGTGTGTGTGTGTGTGTGTGTGTGTGTGTGTGTGTGTGTGTGTGTGTGTGTGTGTGTGTGTGTGTGTGTGTGTGTGTGTGTGTGTGATATATATAGTATATATATATATATATATATATATATAATATGTACATATACATATATATATATAATATATATATATATATATATATATATATATACATATATATATATATATATATATACATATATATATATATATATATATATATATATATATATATATATATATATATATATATATATTATATTATTATACATATATATAATATATATATATATATATATATATATTATATATATACCTATATATATATATATATCATATATATATATATATATATATATATATATATATATATATATATATATATATATATAATGTGTGTGTGTGTGTTGTTTTTGTTGTGTATGTAGTGCGAATATAAATGTGGATATACATGTGAGTATGTATGTGTGTGTGTTGCTGATGTGGTTGTTGTGTATGTGTGTTATTATGTGCGTCGTGTATGCGTGTTGAGTGTGAATGTGAGTACGACTTTATGTGTTAATGTGAATGCGAGTTTGAGTCAGCGTGGGCGATTGTGTGCGTGCGTGTGAGTATGACTCTGCTAGTATCTATACGTATTCCTGCGTGTGTGTGCCCGCCCGTGTGCACGCGAGAGAACGAACGCGTTGCATGCAGGGGAAGACTCTAAACACACATCCATCCACTCCAACATAAACACCCGACATTAAACCGATCTTTTATCTCGATCCCCTGATAGAGCGCCGTCTCTCTTATCTCTCGCTCTCACGCATCACGTCCCAGGCCTCTGATCTGAGCACGGAATCCCTCGCGCGCTGGTGTTCAAGTGTAACTGTATGAACAAAAAAGAGGAAAAAGAAAAGAAAAGAAAAAAAAAGAAGAGAAAAACGGGTCCTTTAATCCATCGTAAATCCTGCGGTTCATTAGGCTCGCTTGTGTGGTTGCGTCCGTGGTTGCGGGTGACCACACTACCCCCCCCCCCCCCACCTCCACCGGACACCCATACGATCACACGTACACACGGCCGCGACTCGGATGTGCACACGGGCTTTCGTACACATGGCATCATCCGTCGGGCGTATCAAACTCACTCATTTTTACGTTCATGTAAATGTGATCATACCATAAAGGACATGGCTTCGCGCACACGTACAGTGTATAAGGAACAGCATATAATTACAACAAGGAATTTCGTACGTAATTACCGCCTCCAAAAAACGAACGCCGGTGTCAGCAGGAGGCAAGAAATTCCAATAAATCTAATGAGACTTTAATGGAAACAATACAAAAAAATTGGTTCGCCATGACAAGAAAAATGCAGGAAAGTTTCGCCAACTAAGAATCGACAAAAGAAAGAAAGAGAGAGAGAGAGAAAAAAAAATGAGGGAGAGAGAGGAGAGAGAGAGAGAAGAGAGAGAGAGAGAGAGAGAGAGAGAGAGAGAGAGAGAGAGAGAGAGAGAGAGAGAGAGAGAGAGAGAGAGAGAGAGAGAGAGAGAGATGAAATACGTGTGTTGATATCTGTGTGTGTGTGTGCGAGTGATATGTTTATTTGTGCGTCGAGGTTATTTATGATCTTGCAAGTGTCGGTGTGTGTTTGTGCGTGCGTGCGTGCAAGGATAAGCCGAGGCTCCTCAGGCGTCGCAGAACCGAGAGAGCATCAGACCGTGTCGGAGCCCGCTAGTTAGTACCGACGCTGAGAAATGTGGCCATTTGCTCGGCCCCGACGCGCCCTTGGCTCATGTTCTCGTCTCGACGCGAGATCCCACCTCCCGGAATCCCCGTGAGAGGTCTCGACGCGCGAGTCTCTCCTCGAGAATGCGCCGACGAATGAAATTATTTCTCGCCAAGAACAACTGCCCTGTGATGACTTTCTCAGCTGGAGCAATTGTGTTGCGTGCGTGTGTGTACGTATTACGTGTGTGAGTTTGAGGCGCTGCAGGCATACGGCTTCAGCGAAGACGGAAAAGCGAGCGCCTTCGGTACACGGGTTAAGTTTCTGGATCGCTTCGGCGCCTCATTCACGCGTCTCCTGCCTTCTTCGCGCCGGAGTCGTTTGCTGAAGTTCCCGAAAGTGTCTCGGTCTTCCGTCGAGAGCCGTCAACAGCGCACAAAAACCTTCAGTAACATAATAATCCCACTTACCTACATAAAACAGTTAATCGGACCCCACATGTAAAAATGTCATTTTACGCAGCTAAAATTACGGGTGTTATTATAAGGTAGCACCAAAAATGGGCATAATTTGCCATAATTGTTTACGGGTAATTTATCGCAGATTTATGGCCGCTCCTTCGCGGCAGGACAGCGCATTGTCTTCCGTTCCGTTCCCAGGACTTTCCTTTGACACATAAATCCGGTCGCTGGAGCGTGTCCCGTCACGCCCGCGCCTGCCTCCGCGGGCGACCTGGCTGCCTCCTTCCATACATTAATGCTAACGAGAGGAAGTGGTCGACGCGGCGATCGCGGAAGTGATGCGTCACGCTGGCCGTCGGAAACCGGAGTCGCCATGCTGGACCGCACGTCGTCTTGGCGACTCGAAGCACGCACGCGCACACACGCGTGCGCGTACGCATGCCCACACAGGCACAGAAAGCACACAGGCATACACACAGGAAGCACAAACAGATAAGTATATCCAGCAGAAACTTCCCGATGCTGCCTTTAATTCACATCTTAAAAAGATATATATATCTACTGATCCTGACTTATCAGAAGCAACAACAAAATCGCAGTTGAACGCCATCTGCCAAGAGCTTAAATTTGCAGAAAATCTAATTTGCAATAAATCTATTCTTCCTTCGTGCGAGGTGAGCCCCATTAATCCACTGACTTAACTGTATATTAAGTTGACCTTCGGCAGTTCATCTACATATATCTCCATCTTCAGCAACCGAAATCACCGGGAGGCTGAACGTAGGCTTACGAAGAAAGAGAGAGAGAGAGAGAGAGAGAGAGAGAGAGAGAGAGAGAGAGAGAAGGAGAAGAGTGAGAGAGGAGAGAGAGAGAGAGAGAGAGGAGAGAGAGAGAGAGGAGAGAGAGAGCGAGAAGATGGAGAGAGAGAGAGAGAGAGAAGAGAGATGAAGATGGGTTGAGTGGGAAAGTAAATGAGTGTCTACGTGAGTGAGTGGATGCGTGGTTGGATGATGAAGCAAGTAGGCGAGCGAAGCAAATAAGTGTAAGTATGCATGCGCTGCGCCGACAAATGTGAAAGGCATAAAACAACGAGAGAGAGAGAGACAGAGAAGAGAGAGAGAGGAGAGAGAGAGAGAGAGAGAGAGAGAGAGAGAGAGAGAGAGAGAGAGAGAGAGAGAGAGAGAGAGAGAGCAGAGGAGAGAGAGAATGAATCAAGCCGCACATTTATCAGAAACGCGTCAACAAATGTACAACAGCTGCACATCAACCATATGTTCTCCCAAGAGTTACAAGTCATTTGGTCATTTGATGTTCTTCCTCGGCGATGCCTTGTAATACCCAGCGTGCAGTTGCAACGCTACGATCATCAAATTATCTTATTGATAGAGCGCATTTTCATTTACAGATGTGTTCCTTTTTGACTGCGTGTGTGTGTGTGTGTGTGTGTGTGTGTGTGTGTGTGTGTGTGTGTGTGTGTGTGTGTGTGTGTGTGTGTGTGTGTGTGTGTGGTGTGTGTGTGTGTGTGTGTGTGTGTGCAGGCATCCACCATCTCCTAAAGTGCTAAAAACCGTACGTGTTCGAAGGTGACCTCGCGTCTATCACAGCCATGAGTCGCTTTTTCGATGCTGAAGTTATCCTCCCCCCCGCCCCCCCCATCCCCCCCTGGTGATACAGCGTCCTGCGTCGCTGGAATTCATTCGCTCCCTCCTAGGCCTCCGCCCATGCACGTGGGCGTGAGCTCTGCACGGGCG